CCCTGGGTAACTAGACCCCCCCCCGTCCCAGCTGGGAGCCCTCGCCGGGGGCCCTCACCCCAGAACCACCCCCCACCCTGCTGGATAAGCGAGTTCCCATGCTACAGGCCCCCCCTTCCCCTCCATGGGGGTCCCTCTGCAAGCAGCCCCTGCCCCAACACAAGGGCCCCCCAACTTCAGCAGTGCTGCTGTGTAACCCTGTGTCTCACCCGCAGAAGACATCCCAGTTCTGGGCAATGGATCCCTGTAGAACCAGCCCCCTGCATCCCACCCCACGGGACAGCTGCATCTGGGTGCTTGGTGAACGAGCCCCTACAAATAGCTGCTGTGCCCAGCAGTGGAGGCGCCTGCGGTCCCGAGCCCTGTCCCGGTTATGGCTCCTAGGGGCTGAGGGATCCCTCTGTAAGGCCCCTGCCACGCCCCCATCCCAGAAGCGGCTGCAGGTCCTTGCTGTGCGATAAGTCGTTGGCTCTCTGCTCAGGCCCAGTTAATCCATGACTCTGGGATCCTAGGGCGGGGAGGCCACAGAGAGCTGTCTGGCTGTTCCCACGATACCTGCCGCACAGGTGTGCGTTTTACCACGGCCATTCCAGGCCTGCTGCCACCACTGCCCTCCTGTGGCAAAAGGAAGTTCCCTGCAATCGCCTGGCATCGCTGCCCGCAGCGCGCATAGCCCGTGTGCCCTGGTTAGCTGCCTGCCTCTCCGCCCTTCCGCGGCCGTTAGGAATCTCACGCTGGCTGGTGGGCAGCTAACGCTGGGCACGAACAGGCTTGGAATTGGGCCTTGGTACGAGTCTCTAGTCTGAGCATGTTTGAGGCATCGCAGGATTCTCTCCATGCCCCTTAAGCAGCGGCTTACCTCTGCTCTGTGTTTTCAGGAAAAGTCAAAGCTGCCAACGTCCTGGCCAGCGCGCCGTCCGACAGGAACTTGGGGGCCTTCAAGGTGAGCGAGGGCAGGGCATTGCAGGCTGCCCGGGAAAGGTCAGGCCTCTTCCTGAGGACTGGAAGAGCTAATAGCATCCTGGTGTCCAGAAACGGGAGGCAAAGGCGATAACGATGCTCGAGTCCACTTGCTTGTGATCCCAGCAGATGTGCAAGCTATTGAGTTCCTCTCCGGAACACCAGGGTGCCCTGGGAAATGGGGCTGGTGAGCTACGGTGGCTTTTCCCTTTCTCTCACTGCTCATCCTCAGTCCAGGTCTACACTGGCGTAACACATGTAGCTGGAGTCTGCTTACCTTCAGCCGAGCTTAGCGCCAGTCCCCGTCATCTTCCCTCGCGACTGCGAGTATCAGGACTGACTAGGGATGTGAACAGCTCGCTGACTAGTCACTTCTCCCTCCCTTTCTGAAAGAGGCAGCAAGGTGGGGGAAGAGAAAAGTGCTTCAAAGTGGCAGCGCCACGTGGAGCCTGGAGCTGCTGCTTTGAAACGCCACATGCAGAGTCAGGGGGGGAGGGGGGGGCTCCACTTGAAATGCCATGGGGCCAGTGGGGACTGCTTGACTGGGCTCGTGATCCCTGTAGCGCTTTCGCCTTTGAAATGTAGCAACTGCCCTGGGGTTGTTGCTACACTTCAAAGGCGGAAGCGCCCTTATCAACTAATCGAATGGTCAATGCAAATTGCATCGACTATTTGATTAGCCAAATAATTGAAATTTTACATCCCTATCTGGAAGACTTTAGTTCAAGTCTGAATGCCTTTCTGGAAGAGAGGCTTTAGCCAAACCCAGGGGAATGGGCTCAGTACAGGAATAACTGGGTGACATTTTATGGCTTGTATTACAGCCAGACTAGATAATCTAGGGGGGTGGGGGGCAGGGGGACTGGCCGGGGGACATCAGGAGGAGGAGGGGAGAACTGGCTGCCGGAAGCAGGGCTGGCGGGGGCAGTGGGGCTGGCCAGGGAAGATCGGGAGGAGAAGTGGGGGAGAACCAGTCAGCGGGGAGGGGGATGGGGGGAGCACGAATTGTCTGGTGGGGAGCGGGACTGACCCAGGCACATGCCGCTCCCAGGGCGCTGCCCATCCCGTGCACAGTCCCAGTGAAGCGCAAGTGAGTTTGGCTGAGGCTCCACCACGCGCTGGAATAGCACTCAGGAGCACGTACAGGGCTTCCCTTCCTCCCCAAGGCATCACACGCAACCAGAGGTTCTCAGCGCTGATCGCGCCCCGCCTCCCAGCCACTCCCCCAGCCCCCGCCAGGCTTCTGTCGGGCACCCAGCCAGAAAACTAGAAAATACCAGATATGTACCGGACTGTCCCGAAAACCCAAAAAAACAGATTGTCCTGTGACTCCCCTCTAAGTTGCTCAGTTTAAGAAACCCACAGTTTGAGAAACGCTGGAGTAGTCGAATAGTCAATGCAACTTGCATCGACTATTCGATTAGCTGATTAAATTTAACATCCCTAGTGCTGACCGGAGTTGCCCTCAGCATTTGATTTAGTGGGTCTTAACTAGACCCACTAAATTGAACCCCAGAAGATTGATCACTGGGCGGAGGCCTCAGATAGCCTTTCCCATCTCACCGGGCTGCGTTTTAATATCGCCACGCATGTTAAAAGCAGGTGGGTGCTGAGTGCTGCTGTTATGTGGGTAGATTCCAGCCTGTCCCCTCCAAGCCTTTACCGGTGTCCCATCTCCTTGGGCGGCAGGAGCTGGGCTGCAAGACGACACACTGCAACAGTGAGGTACTGCAGCACTGTACCGTGGTCTTCCTCGCCACCAAGCCGTAGCGTTTTAATATCGCCACGCATGTTAAAAGCAGGTGGGTGCTGAGTGCTGCTGTTATGTGGGTAGATTCCAGCCTGTCCCCTCCAAGCCTTTACCGGTGTCCCATCTCCTTGGGCGGCAGGAGCTGGGCTGCAAGACGACACACTGCAACAGTGAGGTACTGCAGCACTGTACCGTGGTCTTCCTCGCCACCAAGCCGTACCAGCTCCCCCTGCCGTCCCCCGGGACCACGTTATTGTATCCGTGGCTGCTGGAGTCACTCTGCAGATCCTGGAAGAGGTGGGTGTCTTGTCCCGCTGCCCCCAGCTGGCTGGGGGAGTGTCTGGGGCGTGCACTTTCTCATGGGAACAGTTTATATTTGCTTTTAAACAATGGCCTGGTTAAGAACACGCCCCCTCTAGGTAAAAACTGCTCCAAATCCATGCAGCTCTCCTGGGAGTCTGGTGTGTGTGCAGCCCAGGTCACACCAAGGTTCCTTACCTGGAATGGGCCTGGCGAGGGAGTCGCAATAGGCACTGTCTTCTAAGAATGGCATCCCAGGGGGGTATCAAGGGGTGACCCAGTACTTAGATCCAGCCGCCTGGAGTGGAAGGGTGTAATTACCAGTTCATTGGGGAGTATGGGGCAGTTCACACTGAGAATGTAAAAGGTTAATGGGTGAGGCGAGACCCGCTCCGGTTAATTGGGCGGGGCTGGAGCAGCTCCTCTCCCACCCTAGACAAGGGGCTGCTCCAACCTCGCAGAGCCCCTCTGCTGCAGGTTACACACTCTGGCTCCCTGGGAGGAGAGCCAGTGGGGGCTGCCAGCCTGCTCCCAGGGAGCCGGCAGCAGAGCCCACAGTGAAGTGTCCGCAGGAGTGGGGCTGGCAGCCCTTCCTGGCCCTGCTCCCAGGGAGCCGGCAGCAGAGCCCACAGTGAAGTGTCCGCAGGAGTGGGGCTGGCAGCCCTTCCTGGTCCTGCTCCCAGGGAGCCGGCAGCAGAGCCCACAGTGAAGTGTCCGCAGGAGTGGGGCTGGCAGCCCTTCCTGGTCCTGCTCCCAGGGAGCCGACTTTGCTGCAGGAGAGAAGCCTCTTTCCTGGGAGTGGGGCTGGCCAGGCTGGTGGCCTCGCTCCTGGGAAGGCTTCTTTGGGGACTCCGCAATATAGAGCCAAGTTGCCGGCCTGCTACGATTTTTAGTGGCTTCACGGTTAAGTACTAGGGACGTTAGGAGGCCTGTAATTTGTTAATTGTGTCGTTGACAACATTTTGTTAAGGGCAGGGGCAGATGACGATTTTGCGGGGCACAATTTCATGGGGCCTCCCCTTTGACACGGCGCATGCACGGGGCTTCTTGAAGCGCGGGGTCCGGGGCAGCTGCCCCGTTCGCCCTGCCCTATATCCGCCCCTGGTTAAGGGCATGATTAATCGATGTGGGTGAGCACTGCAAGCGCTCAGACAGCCTGGCTCCATCCCGGCTTGCACCAGTCCCGGGAACTCCCCCCACTGCCGCTCTGCAATAATGTGCACATAGCTCCCAGGACTGAGCCAGGCTGCCTGCCCCCCGGCTCCTAAATGACTCATTATGCAGAACCCACAGCGGGGGTAGCTCCTGGGACCCGGTGTGAGCCGGGACTGAGCCAGGCTGCCAGCCAGCCTGCTAAAAAATATACTGGCAGAGGCGTGGGGGGAGGCTGCGAGTAGCCGGTAGCGTTATCGGTGAGTTGTTTAACCAGCTACACTATCACATCCCTACCCCGTACCTGTTATGCCCACGTGCCTTGTTTTCAAGCCTCCCTTTGCAGCCGCGAGAGCGAGAGACCGAAAGCTGACATTGTGCTGCAGTCCCGTGACTGTCCAGCCCTGCCAGCAAGCGGGTCAGCTTGGGCCGGTCTCAGCAGAGCTCCCCATTGAGTCTTGTTCTGGATGGTTTCCTCTCTGTAGGCGTCTGAAGGGACTGAATCCAGCAGGGGGCGGCGAGCTAACGCGCGCCCAGCCGCGCCCAGCCCCCCTTCCCAAGTTGCTGCCTGTGATTTTCCTCCCACCTACCTACCTCCACTCCTCCCTGTAGTATGTTGTCACAGCCTGAGTATTATCCCTTGTGCCCCTCAGTGCTGAGCTGTCCCCCCCTCACCACATGCAGCCCTGCCGGTGCCCCCTACCTTCACCTGCAGCCTCCCGGCCCTCACCCATGCCCCTCAGTCCTGTACTGCAACCTCCTGACTAGTCCAGTCCAACACAGAGTTCCCTGTAAGCTGAGCTCTCAGGTGGGGGCAGGGATAGCTCAGTGGTTTGAGCATTGGCCTGCTAAACCCAAGGTTGGGAGTTCAATCCTTGAGGGGGCCATTTAGGGATCTGGGGCAAATCTGTCAGGGATGGTAGTTGGTCTTGCTGTGAGGGCAGGGGACTGGACTCGACTCAATGACCTCTCAAGGCCCCTTCCAGTTCTATGAGATGGTATATCTCCTTATATTATATTATATATATTTTTATATATTATAGGATAAATCAAAGTGCCACCCAGCTGATTAGCGGAGTGCTCACAGCTGCCTGCAGCATGTGTTTCTATTGGTGGTGCGCATCCATACTTGCCTTGGTGCACAGCACAAAATTTATTCTGCACATGGATGGAAAAATTAGAGGGAACTCCGGTTCTGAGCCCTTCACCACACACACAGCTCAGCTGATGCCCCTCAGTCCTGACCTTCAGCCCCCTGGTAGCTCAGAGCCGGCTTCCCTGGGCAAGTAGTACTGAGCAGCCTGGTGGGTTTGCCTTGTGAATACACGGCAGGGACGGGTTACGCCTGCTAGGCACAGTCCCCTGTGACCTAAGGCACGTACTGCCTGGAGACCCCGGACCGTCTCCCAGCCTTGTCCCCACCCGCAGTGGAGTTCTCTTGGGTAAGCATCACGGCCGTCTCTCCCTGCAGCTTCTCCCGGCTGGGACCAAGGTGCTGCGGGTCATGCCCAACCTGCCCTGCGTGGTGCAGGAGGGGGCGGTGGTGTTTGCCCGGGGCAGCTGCGCTGGAGAGCAAGAGGCCGCCCTGCTGAAGAGCCTGCTGTCCTCCTGCGGGCTGTGTGAGGAAACGCCCGAGTCCTACATCGACATCCACACGGGCCTGAGCGGCAGCGGGGTGGCCTATGTGAGTGTCCTCGCGCCGGGGCCAGCGCCTCTCCGTGCTGCCCTCCAGCCCCAGTTGGCTCCTTGTGAAGTGCCTCCTGGATTGTTCCCTCTGCCCTGGTCCGCAGCTGGACATGGTGACTCCCAGAGCAGTGCTTGGGTTACCAACCAGTCCTGGAGCTTGAGGCCTCTCTGCTGGGTACCCTGGGCTCTCTTCTCTGTGAACTGGACCCTGGCGCCTTGGTGCTGCCCATCTCCCCCTGAGTTGTGCGCGCTCTCCGCCCCCCTGAGCCCCTATGTTCTGAGAGTGGGGCAGCCTGCGCCCCCCGTGGGTTAGCTGCACACCGGCCTGGGGCTGTTGAGTGCAGTAACCAGTGCCATTGCCCAGAGATTTGGGAATCGCTGGTCGAATGGAGACCTCCAGCCCTTGCCTGTAACTGGCTTATAGCCCTGCTCTGCGTGCAGGGAGAACGGGCACCATGGCAGGGGTGCTGGTGACCGCGCTCTGGCCAGGCCGTCTCCCGTATCACCCAGACCTCAGCCCCTTTGCTTCGTGGGCACCTGATTTCTGGCTGGCTCAGGATGGTGGCTGGTAGCTTGCAGAAAGCTCTCCCAGGCTGGCTCCTGTATTGGGATTCCCGTGGGTGGCGGGTAATGCAGGCAAGGGAAGGCATTGCCCAGCTGCCTGGGAGGGGCTGGGGCCGGGCAGCCAGGGAAAGTCGGGGGCGCACTGCACAGCAGCCCTGGCTTTCAGCGGAGGTTGGAGAGAAGGTTGTGAAGGGTCATGGACTTGGGGAAAGGGGTGTGGCTTTGGATGGAAGGGGTGTGGCTTTGGATGGAAGGGGCGGGGGGTTCGAGATGTGTCCATTTCCTGTCCTCCAAAAGCACCAGCAGTAGGATCCAGCTATTGGCTGAACGTCTGCCTCTCCCTGCTCCAGGTCTACTTGTTTGCTGAGGCCCTGGCGGACGGTGCGGTGAAGATGGGCATGCCCAGTGCTTTGGCCAATAGAATCGCCGCCCAGACACTGCTGGTAAGTTTCGACTTTGCTCCTCGTCGTCAGGATCCCCAGCCTCATAGTCCAGACCTGCCGCCAACGCGCCTGGCTTCCGACCCACAGCTCCCCCGTCCGTCCCAGTCCTGGGCTCCCCAGTGCGACTCGGCTCCGGCCTGCAGCGCCCTCTGCTGCTGCCCACACCGCAAGTGCCCGGGAAAAGCCTTCAGCTCTAGGGTACGCTCCTGCATCCCCATCCCCCCACCCTCTTTGGCTCTCTGAGGGGCTCTGCCACTGGAGCTGAGCTGGGATCAGCCAAGCGTGGGAGGGCTTTTCTGGGACCGTAGAGTTTCACCAACCGCAGCTGGTGCAGAAGATTCCCAGGAACTCACCCAGGACCTGTGGGGGCTGAACTGGACAAAGTCCAGTCTCCTTGGCTGGCCTAGCATGGCCACCGGGTCGGGGGTGGCAGCAGCTGCACTGGACAAGCCTAAAAAGAGTCAGTAACTGATCCAAAGTCCTTTCAGTAGGTACCTTCACTGCTTAAAACCACCTGACTTCCAGCCAGTGGTGGTGCTAGACCTCCCTCTGATGGATTGATGCACCCATTACTGAAAACGCGTTCCTCAGGAAGGTAGTTCTAGACCGGGGTGGGCAATAATGTTTCGTGGGGGGGCACACCCAAGAACTTGGAAAGCGGCCAAGGGCCTCACTCTTCCATGATACTAAAGGAGAAGGTGTGGGGTCTGGGAGCCGAAGGGAGTTTGCAGTAAGGGATTGGGGTGCAGGAGAGTGTGGGGCTTGGGAAGGAGATGGTTGTGACTTGGGGCAGGGAATTGGGGTGCAGGATCTGGAAGGAGATATGGGTGCAGGAGAGGGGCAGAAGGTTTGGGTTGTGACCTAGGCTAGCAGGGGGTTGTGACCTGGGGCAGGGGTTTGGAGTGCAGGATCTGGGAAGAGTACGGGGGCAGAGGGTCTGGGTTATTGAGGGTTGGGGTGCCAGAGGCTCTTTATTAAGCTAATTAAGACTGTTCTGTGAGGCTATAATTGCAAGGCAGGTGTCCTATCCTGTGGAGGAAACAGATCATGCATTTACAAGGGGGTAGATCAGCTGATTACTCTGAAGAGAGTCAGACCTGGTTCCCTTTAACTCTTGGCATTCACACCACGGAGAACAACGTGCTGGTCCAATGATCAGAGGAAGGTGGCCGGGGTGGGGGTTGGGAGACCTCGGATCCGACCCCAAAGGGCACAGAGCGAGGCAGTGGAAGAATGGGGAATTCACTGCTGTCTGCCTGGGAAGGGAGCCGTTTGGGGGTAGCTGGGTCTCGCTCCCCACGTCCGAGGGCCGGGACGGTTTCAGTGCGCTAAGGCACAGGGCTCTCCTCTGATCACGCCTCCTCTTGCAGGGAGCTGCGAAGATGATCCTGGACACGGGGGAGCATCCGGCCAAGCTGCGCACGGATGTCTGCACGCCTGGCGGCACCACCATTCACGCCCTGCATGAGCTGGAGAAGGGGGCGCTGCGGGCGACCGTCATGAACGCCGTGGAGGCTGCGACCGTGCGGGCTCGCGAGCTGGGCAAGAGATAGGGGCCGGGCAGCGTGTTCTGGGGCCTTTCTGAGCCCTGCAAGAGCTGCCCCTGGGGGACTCTGGAGTCTCCATCCCGTGATGGAAGGAGGCCGTCCAAGCCATCCTGCGGATGTAGATCCCAGTCCTTTCTCCCCAGGTGCTGCTCTTCCTGCCGGAGGGATTGGTCTCGGCGTTTGCCATTTCGTTTCCTTTAAGGGGCTGTTTGCCTCCATGTTTCAGCCCTTCTTGTTGGGACATTCGGTGCCGTTTTCTGCCGAGGCGGGAAAATGGCGTCATGTGACCACTGCAGTCTGCCCAGCTACAAAAGGGTGGATAAGATCTGGGCACGCGATGCTGGGGCTCTCCCTCCCCAGGCCGCAGCACCATGCAGACCGATCCGCTTCCCTGCGTGTTCCTGAGCCTTGCTGTCAAGCGCTGCCGTTTCCCGTCACTTCTCGCCCGGGCTTTTCCTGACCAGCTGTGGTATTCCTGGGACATGTGGGTGCGCAGAGGGATGTTAAATATCGGTTAACTGAATAGTCGAGTAACCAGGGGCGGGGCCAGTAGCCACTTTAGCAGAGGCAGCAGCGTGGGGTGCCAGGTGGGAGCTGGTCTGTGAGGGGAGCCAGTTTGAAAACCAGCTCCCCTCGCGGACTGGCTCTCGCCCTGCGCTGCTGCTTCTGAGAGAGAGGCAGCAGTGTGGGACGGCAGCAGTCCCTGTCTAGGAGGGGTCTGAGCTCCCGGACCCGATGTGAGCCACAACTGAGCCAGGCTGCCTGCCCAGCCGGCTCCTAATCTGCTCATCGGTTAATCGACTACAGTTCCATCCCTAGCGTACAGCTTGCCTCTTTCACCTTGCTGACCCACTTCGGTTGGGCTTCGGCTTCATGCCAGTGTGTGTTTACTGAGTTATTTTAATAAAACCCTGTTGTTTGCATCCCATGAATTGCTGCCTTTGGCTGAGAGGGCCTGGGGGGAAGGGATTCACTACCAGTGACAGAGAAGGGGGATCCTGTAGTGCAGTGGTCACCAACCAGTCGATGGAGATGTGCTCGTAGATTTTAGATCTTGGAGCCTCTGACGGGGTCCTGAGTGGTTTGGCCAGGAAGCTATCAGTGCTGTCACTTCGGTTGCCCCTCCACCCACTGCCATGCTGCTCCAGCCCTCTGCCTTCAAGCTGTCCCCCCCCAGGAGCCTCCTGCTTGTTGTGCAGGGTGTGGGAAGGAGAAGGGGGGGCGGTGCTGATGTCAGGGTGTCCCTCCCCACACTCCTATACCCTGTCTCCACACAGAGAGAAGGGGACGGAGGGAGATTGACAATGCAAATCTCTGTCCTCACGGTGCGTGGGTGTCTGTCACACTCAAACACACAGGCTGCATCTAGACTGGCACGTTTTTCCGCAAAAGCACTTGCTTTTGCGGAAAAACTTGCCAGCTGTCTACATTGGCGGCTTGAATTTGTGCAAGAACACTGATTAATTACCTTTCCCTTTTAAGGCACAGACCTAACAGATTGATTTATGATCCGTGCTGTCTGCCGGCGTGAGAGCTAGAAAGGCCTTTCACTAACGGGAAGCCATTTTCATCGAGTGACAGTCAGCCCATGTTTGGATAGATGCTGCTCCCACTCGGGAAAAAGCCCTCTTGTGCAAATGCTTTTGTTTGGTTTTGGACTGGTCTGTGCATTTCATCATTTTCATTTCTCTCTTATGCTTACATTTAATTGAGGGGTAAATTCTAAATTGCCCAACCTGTCATGGCTGGAGTTGTCATCCCTGTGGTAATTGCTGCTCCTGGAAGTGGCTGGCATGTCCCTGCAGCCCCTGAGAAAGGCAGAGCCTGGCCTGTGTGTTGAACGAGCACTGCTCCTTAGTCGCTGGGAGAAATGACCTGAAAAGCCCAGGAGGGAAGTGGTGTGTTAAGACCCTCTGTCCTGTACCAGATGAATGTCCTTGGAAAACCAGGGAGGAGGGGAGCAGTGAGTGGATCTCCAGCCTGAAGTTTAATTTCATAACCAAACATTGCCTGCAAAAGGTTGAGGCACATGCTATAAATAAGCATAATTGTACATTCCCCTTCTTGGCTTGCAGGGGCGTCAGCCCTTCTCATGAGCTTGATATTTATAGCCCAGCCCTGGAGCTGAATGAAAACTCACCCAGATAAGAAAAATAGTCTCCCCAGCACACACAACCTGTGGTTTGCGGAGGGGGAATTCAGCCTGAGGGATTAATTACCTTTCCCTTTTAAGGCACAGACCTAACATTGATTTATGATCGGTGCTACACAGGCCTTTGCAAGGATACAGATTTAAAAATACTTCCTCCCCCCCGGTACATTTTGGAGACACAGCTCTGTCTGCTGGGGTGAGGGCTAGAAAGGCCTTTCGCTAACGGGAAGCCGTTTTCATTGAGTGACAGCTCAGGTTTGGATAGATCTGTTCTCAGCTTTCAGAGCAGCCCCCTTTACTGTCCCCAGGGATTTTAAAACTAACATGCCTCCCTTTTGCAGCAATGGAAGCCAGAAGGGGCCCTTTAATCTGACCCCTCTTACCTGGGTACCTCATCCCAGCTACACTGGTCTGGCTAAAGCCTTCTAGTCCTGGGAAGCCCAACATGAGGCTTGTCACAGGCAGAGAACAGGCGAGATCACGGCAGCATCAGTGCCTGGAACTGATCAACATCAGGGTGAATTCTACAGGGAAGTGCTGCCACCGTGCAAGGCGCTATACACGAGGCAGTGAAGTTCAGTCTCGTGTTTTTCAGCTCACTGATGGGGGAGGAAAAGGAACACACACATCCCCGCCTTCAGCCATCGCTGGGTGAAATGTTCTGGCCTGTGTTCTGCAGGTCAGACCTGAGACCCTGAATCTGTGAATCAAGAGACCTGACCATATGATCTTCTGGTTCCCAGTGCAGAAGGGCTGCACCCAATCTCGCTGATTTTCCTGCTTGTGCATTCCCTGGGCTCCAACCACCACCTTACTAGGGTAGCTTAAGGTCATCCCCATTCTACAGTGGGGAAACTGAGGCAGAGCTGGGCTATCGTTTGCTGAAGCTTGGGGGTTTCTCAGCAGCACATCCCAAATCCACATTTCAGTAGGTTCCCAGCTGCGAAAGTGACACTGAACTGGAAGGGGATTAGTTCAGGCCAGCCCTAAACAGGACAGCACATGGGTTCTGCTCCTAAGTGGCTTTGACTCACAAGAGGTGTGGGGTGGGTCAGCTAAGGTGTATTCTCAGCTTACTCTATTGGCATCCAGACTCCTGGACCCACCACCTGGACCCCCCCCTCCCTCAACCAGTCTCACATGGCTGAGCCAGCACCCCAGCCCATATCCAGCAGCACCTGCATCCTACCGCTCCCGCCAGCCTCTTCCTGGGCCACAGAGGGAAGCACGTCAGCCCACCCCCTACCCCGAGGGGCAGCACTGCCAGGAGATGGGAGGGGGCTGGAGCTGCTGCAGCTGACAGGAAGGAGAGCAGGGGGAGGGGGCTACCTGCCCATGAGTATGCAGTACAGCCTTGCAGGGGGGGGTGAGAGGAGGGACAGTGCGGTGCTAGCAAAGAGAGGAAGACGATTGCCTGAGAAATGCATCCCCTTAGGCCTTCTGCTGTATCAAGCATTGGATTTGCTCTGGCTGAGGACCAATGCTTGGGGGGGGGGGAGGGGGGAAAGGGTTTAAGCTAATTGGCCTTTTCCATCTCCCCTGAGCCGAGCGTGACCTAGCAACAGAGCCAGCTTCCTTTATCCCCCACAGCTGATCTTCTATCCCCAAGGGACAGGATTCCTACATGGCTACAGCCTCTACAGAAACACCAGCCACCGCAGGTCACCCTCCCTGCCAGCTAATCCAAAGCACACCAACCTCCGCCAGCCTCCTTCTGTTGCAGCAGGCACGGAGCAGAGCCCTTAGTGCACATGTACCGTCAAGGGACAGTCGCTTAGCCCCATGCATCCAGCGCTGGGGGAATTGCGTACACTCAGCCCACGGACGGCCCTCTCTGACCCGACCCAGCCGATCTCCCAGCATCTTGCAAACTTCATCAGCTCCAATCCCTCGCGGAGAGCTGCACTGATCAGCGCAGGAAGGTGAAAAGCTGCTTGTGGTCACTGAATATTATTGGTAGAACACAGGAATTATACCCCATAGCATCCCTCAGGGCGCTTTGGTGTCTCAGCTGAAGGAGCCCCTGTTGATGCATAAACTAGATACAACAACAGTTCAACGTCGGTTTCAGAGCAAGTTTCTAGCCTGGTTTGGACAGTACTGGAGTGCACAGAAATGCAAGGACATGGCCGCCGTGCCCTCGACTTGCCTGGAAATGAGAGGGGTCTCTTCCAGGGTCACCTCAGCCAACAACACGGACACATTTTCCTACTGGGAAACGAGCTTTGGCGAACTCCCATTCTTACTCGGGTCAGCAGAGGTAGATCTCTGCGTGGAGACCAAATCTGTATCTGGACATCTGCGGACATCGATTCTCGCAGATACAAATCAGGTATCTGCGAAGCTGCAGGATTCTAGACACAAAATGTATCTGTGTCCATACCCTCAACATTCAGCTGCGGAGAGCCGCATCCACCTCTGCAGATACCTGCAGATACAGAGCAAATATCTGTGGCTTTGCGGGTCTATATACATCAGACGACACTGCCGTCTAAAGCCATGAACACAGGTGCTCGGACCCTTCCGACCCACTAGCCTACACTCCCTACCAGTGTTTTGCACAAAACCCAGGACTCCAGTGTCCCCCCCCCCCATAACTTTCTTTACATTCCCCTCCCCATGGTCCCAGTGATAGGAATAGAACCCTAATGGCCCACCCCCCATATCCCAGAGCCCTACATCTGGATTCTGACAATCCAGTCGCTCCCAAGCAGTGATTCTGAACTTCGGTGTGTCAAAGGGTGAAATTTAGGACAAAAGAGAGGCCTTCCTGTTCCACAGTGGGGGAAGGGAAAGGTCATTCTTGGACACAGAGTTCATGTGCGTTTCAAGCTCCCTTCCTGGTAGATCCATACTGAGAGCTCCAAGGGTCCCATGACAGAACTTGCGACAGGCCTCCCTTACATTTCAGCCTCTGAAAATAATTTTGTACCATCAAGTATCTGGCCGAGGCAACAGCCTCTGGTCACACTGGCTGAACCTCTCCATGGGTAACATACATATTAGAACGAAATCGGTTTGCAAGAGACTGCCAACATCCAAAGCACTTGCTGGCTAAATGTTGAGAGGTCAGCATTACCCAACAGCCCTTTTTACTACAACAGCTTTGACTGGGATGGTACACCAAGCCTGCAACACCGACAGCCTGGAACAGCTCAGATTGCCACAGCGTAGCTCTCTAGGTGGTCCCTTCTGGCCTGGGAATCTCTGACTCATGATTGTGCCAATCTCAAAAGGGGAAACCCATTTCAAACTGTGAAGCACAAGGGAAAAAAGAAAAAAAAAGGCAAGTGCAGCAGCGAGGTTATGCAACACATCAACAGGAAAGTAAAAAGCCAGGTGACATTCTAGTCTTCCTCTCTAATGAGTGAATCTGTAATTAACTAATTTGTAGCTGAGCATCCTATCAAACAGCCAAATACTCTGGAATTGTGGAAGAAATGGGGAGAAACACCATCCCTTTTTCCTCTTCTCAACCTCCTCCTGCTCCCCTGCACACTAGAGAAGGATTTTTCCCCCACGTAGAGAGATAAAAGGGCACCTTGGAGATACTAGGGGTCACCAAATGAAATTAATAGGCAGCAGTTTTAAAAAACAAAAGGAAGTGTTTCTTCACACAGCGCACAGTTAACCGGTGGAACTCCTTGCCAGAGGATGCGCTGAAGGCTAAAATTTTAACAGGGTTCAAAAAGAGAGCTAGCTAGATTCATGGAGGTTAGGTCCATCAATGGCTATTAGCCCGGATGGGTAGGAATGGTATCCCTAGACTCTGCTTCTCTGGAGGTGGGTGACAGGGCAGGGATCCCATGAGGATTACCTGTTGTGATCCCTCCTTCTGGGGCATCTGGTATTGGCCACTGTCGGCAGACAGGACACTGGGCTAGATGGACCTTTGGTCTGACCCAGTGTGGCCGTTCTTATACAGATCCTACCACCAGTTCAGGGGCAGCAGCTCCTTGGACAGTCTGACGCATTAACACAGAAGAGCAGATCTTCAGGACAGACTGAAGCAACTCACGGATTGTTTTCTGAAAGCTGACACTGAAATACACCAGGAGATTTGAGCATGTGACAGAGAACAAGGAGATCATGGATTTACGAAGGGTTATTTCTGTGCAACACGCAGCTGAAGTTTTGAAAAAACACACCTTTCATTTTGCTGACAGCTTTATTAATCCCCAAAGACCAGGACTGGCAGCAGTAACTACTAGACTCTGTTGCCTGGCAGAAACCATACATGGCAGAATGAGACTGCTAAGGGCAGCGGTAGGCGTGTTTTCTTGGGGAGGAAGGGAATGGGAGGAGGGCTGCATCTTTTACAGCAGCTAGTACTGCAAAGCTGGCTACTCAAAAAGAATCCTCACATTCACAGTCCGACGGTTGAAACATACTAGGGTTCCCAGGGAAACAAGGTTCCAGATGAAACATACAAGGCCTGAGATTTAGCCACTATTTCTTCATGTTTCCTAAACAACAAAACAGAACAGCAGAACCTTTCAAAACTGTTTCATAGCTAGAAATTACATGACTTCAACAACATCCTAAAAGGCGCTCCACATTTTTCTACACTCCCTAATAGTAACCATACATAGGTGGCTGATCAGTGAGATGGGATAACTGGTACCTCCCTTACTTCATCACCCAATTGTGACCTTCATTCATATCACAGCAAATTAAGGATGTAAGCCACTAGTTGCTTCCCTCCACTTGCTGCCTATCAAGAGGCTGGGGGAGGGCGGGGGACCAGGCATGAACGGGAAATCAGCTGATTCCTGGTTAACACCCAGTCGCAGACTCTGCTTTTTAAATGTATTAAGATCCTGCTGGCCCTTAATACATTAAAAATCAGAAGCACAGCAGGGGGGGGGAAACCTAGGAATCAGCTGGCCTGGCTCGCACCGGGTCCCCCGCTACGCACCTGCCCTTTAAATGTATTAAGAGCCAGCAGGCTCCCCCGCTTAGATGGAAAATCCATCGATTAGTTAATTAATCTATATTTAATATCCCTACAGCAAATAGTTAGCAAATATTCATCAGGTCTCTGGGGCAGGATCAGCATCTTCTCAGGTCTCCTCTGACCCACCTGGCAGCTAAAAAGAACAAAACCACCCCACATACATCCATTTTCACCACTCTTGTTCGGGTGGTATTAATCATCTCTAGGACAAGTCAAATGACCATGCCAATTTTCTCCAATACAACTTAAGTCTCATCTTTTATCATGACAGTTTTCATTTACCCTCCCTCACACTTACAGACCCAGCTCATTTTGCTACCTATGACTGCATCCTGCCCCTCACAAAAGATCACAATTTCTTTATAAAAAAAAAAATCTGGCACCACCTTCCAATGTGATCCTGGATTCTCCATCAACCTCCTTCTCTCTACACTTCAGTGAGATCGAGATTTCTTCCAGACCAAAAACACCTTTACTCCATCCATCCATCTCATCCCAAGCTTCTCTAAGACATGACATGGTTGATTACTCCCAGCTTCTTAAATCTTCTCCTCCAATGGATCTAGCTGCTCTTTTTCATGGTGGTCTCCGTTTCAGATTGCTGCTCTAGCAACCCTTAGCTTTCATACAGATAACGCCCCACGTTTAAGCCAATGCTATCTAAACTTCACCCAACTGAGACCAATACTGGCATCTTCCTGGAAAGCAGAAGGATAAACCTAAGTTGCTTAAAAAGGAGCATTTTGCAGGCAGTCATTCTTAGAGGTTCAAGCTAGCGACTACATGAGCCCAGTTTGCCATGTTCCATCTTGACAATCTGTGAGCCCATCTCAGCTAAAAGTTTTAGACTAGGACCTTTCCACCAGCAGTTGTGAAAACAAAGGAAATCAGTTTTTTGCCTTGAAACAGTCCAAGTGCCAAGCATTTACTGTATTTTCCTAATCATCTTTTCCTGGTTCCCTTAACAACACTGTTCACAGAGAGGGAGAGTTTTTAAAAACATTTTTATGAAAATGGAAGTTAATACCTTACTGATGTGAGGAAATTTGTTCCAGTTACTTGTTTGCCATGCTTACGCCTGATTTTTGTAGTTAATGGCTCATCCTTTAACAGATCACTTTTGGAAACACAGCGCATGAGAGCAGACATCTACTCTATCAGCAATGGAAATGCCAAATAAATTCCAGTTCTGGAATCTTTATTTCTTGCAATGATACGAAGCAAGAAAGATCCCACCTTGAATTTCAGGGCCTGAGGCTGTGAAACTGGGTACTTATAAAATATTTTTACTTTATAATTGAATACACTGTTTCTGGAGCCACTGAAGGAAACGGGATCCCACCAAGGTCCCGTTTTCAGAGTCACTTTTCACATACCAGCCACACTCATTTCAAGAATAAAGGACATTAGTAACTGTAAAGCTTAGCCAGCCAGCCAGCCACAGAATTAACAGCTTGACAACTCCTTCAACCTTCCCAACAATGCAGTCCTTTGGAAACAGAAGCTGTAGTTGGTTAATGTCCTCAGGAATTTTTATGCTTAAATGGGATCTTCCCTCATCCTTAAGTGATGCATGCAGCTCCACTGTCTCTCAGAATTCCTAATCTCCTTCCAAGAGTGATATTTTAAACGTTCATAGAGATTCACAGACATTAAGGCCTAAAGGGACTATTAGTTCACCTCTAGCATAAGACAGGCCATGCAATTTCACCACATCATCTCTACATTGAGCCAAATACTTGCATTTGACTACAGGATATCTTTTAGCAATATACACATTACTGACCTACTTTCAAAGTCAGGTGGCTTAGGGCTAAAATGTAACCTTTAAAAAAAATTAAATGATAAAACCTAATAGAATTTTTTTTCAAATAATCAAAGTAAGTAACTTGGAAGTAATTATGCAACTTAAAACTTTCCCCTCGTTAGCATACACAACCCAAACACTGCCATATGCCTATATGTAACAGTGAGAAAATTACTGATTACAAAGCAATGTGAAACGGATTAGACTATTTCCAAATGCTGGCTCTGGAAACAGTGGAAATTGTACAAAAATATAGGTATTTGTAACTGTCTCATTTGCTGTCTTCACCTGTCCCTAAAACAGCTACTCCAAAGCAGAAGCTGGAATCCCAGTTTTAAAGGCTACTATTCAGAGCTAATTATCCAAATGGAGGAGAAAACCAGGTTTATAAGGCAACTGTATTAATTTATTCACTCTTCTTCATCTCAAGATATGAGATTTTATTTTGTAAACAACTCTCAGTATTAGTTCATGGGCTCAGAAGCAAGAGCTGAACCACAATTCAAGAGATTCTTTTTCAGAGCAGCCAGTGTTTTTACAGATAACTAGATGACTTTGCCTACTGAAACAAATTTAGGATCACATACAGTTGAACAGTGAATGCAATTTCAAGGGTTAAATCAAAAGCTTACTTGCCACATCATTTTGAAGAAAAGTCACATTAAAATCTATTTTGCTTCACTATACATCCGGCTAAAGGAACGATTTACCAAAAGCCCCCAAAGTGGAATAGAAATCGATTAGCTCTTCATAGACTCTGAAGTTACGAGATGGAAAAGATGGCTATGTATCCATCCCCACAATGCAGAACTGTTCAACTATTTTTTTTGTTGCTAAATAGCAGACTAAAAGTAATTAAAAAAAATCAGGCAAAGAAAGATTCCAATTGGAATCTCATACCTGTATTTTTTAATAGAAATGTTGTGGACCACACCAATTTCTGCCTCACCCCAGCTGCAGGTCATGTTACGGGCAGCCTCCAAGAGGCAAAACCAGCAATCTGCTTGCAGAATATCCCACTGCTGAAGGGAGTTTTAGTCTCTTCCTGGCCACCGAGCTTAACTGTTTTGCTATAAGACTGGAAAATAAAGTGGGGTTTTTTTTGGAAGTCTTAAGTATCCATGGTTTAAGAGCTAGAGCAGCCCTCATGCACATCAAGTCACCATGGAGTGGACATTAGCTCACCAACTCTTAGGGTGGCCTGCAGCTTATCAAGAATACCCCCAGCCCAGAGCGTACCAGTTCCAATCCAGTGCATGTGAAACCCACCGCTGATTTAAACCCATCCTAGTATAAGAAGCAGCCAGTTAGCAGATGGGAAGGATAAAAGCAACCAGCCCCCTCCAGAGTGTGAACAAAGACACCCAAGCCAGTGGCTGCTGCAGTTTACGTCCGGGTAGCAGTTACAGTCCAGTGATGGGTTTAGATCCAGCTGCTACCGGGATTCACCTCCGTGAGGCTGCAGCCAGGTTACCTGTTTCACTTCCTTCCCTGCCAGCACTTTTTTCCCCCCTCTTTACAGCTTGAGAAGAAAGAGCCTCTTTCGGTGGTGAGTAACCAGGCTCAACCGCCTTCCCCGCCCAGCAGCACTGGTACTGCTGACCATCTCACAGTGCCGCCATTGCTGGTCCCAGAATCCCCTCCTCCAATCAAGCTGGGGGGCAGTGTGCTTTCTGTGTCCCCCACCTAAGCCCTTCTCAGGGATGTTCCCTCAATCCCAGGAGGATGTGGGTAAGCCCATGCCCCAGGCCTCTCAGTGACACTGAATGCAGGGATAGGGCCCCCTGCCTCTGCCCCACAAGCTTGGGGGATGTGCTGAGGTCGGGGGTCAGGATTAACCCTCCAGTGATGTTGCAAGGGATTATCCGCCTCCATCCATGGAGCAGGGACTAGCACCTCCCAATGACATTTAAAGTGAGGAATAGCCCTCAAGTGATGGCACTTTGTGGGCCGTTGGTCCCCCTTATTAGCCCCAGGAGGCAGGGTTACCCTGCAGTGACCGTACAGCAGGCAGGAGTTCCCAGCCCCACAAGGTAGGAGACCCCATCCTTAAGCATTGATGGGTAGGAGGACTGGCCCCCATTGTAGAGTTGGGTTTAGGGGCTACACCCTCAAAGGTGCAGCAGCAGGTGGCTGACCAGCTCCTGTCCCCTTGCTCCCTCTAGGAATCTGAGCTACCCCCTCGGTGCAGCCGCTGGGCCATACTGATGAGGGAGCGGAGCTGCACCAACTTGAGTGGCCCCACCTCCCGGGGGTCCTGGCTCTCCAGCCAGCGCAGAGCTGTCTCTAAGCCCCTGATGGCTTCCTGAGCCGTGGGCAGTGGGGGATCCCCTCCTTCCTCCACTCCACTGCCTCTTCCCCCTGCTCCCACCCCTGCTGCCTCCTCCTCCTCCTCCCCCACGCAGCCTCCAGGTTCCTCATCCCCACCGTCCCCTTCCCCATCTTCCCCCTCCGTGCCTGGCGCCACATCGTCCAGGTGTAGCCAATCAGCCACTTCCTCGGGTGCCAGATGCTTGTAAGCCAGAGCAGCCAGGTGGGTGAGGTCGCTGAAGACCTTGCTGTCCCCACCACCTCCATCCTCGCCCAGCGGCTCTCCCTGCTCCTCCTCCCCGGGCTGGGGCTCGAAGGCAGCGCGCAGCCCCAGCAGCCAGCACTTCTCGATGGAGCCAGCAGGGATGAGGTCCCAGGAGAGGCCAGCCAGGTACAGCATGTCCTTGAGCAGGAAGGAGCGCACAAAGTCCAAGGGGCCATTCCCAGCCGGGCAGGGCCCTGCGGCTGGGCCTCCTCCCCCACTGGCCACGCAAGACACTGCCAACCGCAGCAGTTCCCGCTTGTAGAGTTGCTTGAAGGCGGACACCACGCCTTGCTCCAGTGGGGCCGGGATACGGCCTCCCCCTCCAGCCGAGCCGCCCCCTGCCGCAGCCCTGGAGAGGG